CTGGGGCGTGGCCGGGGCGTGGCCGGGGGAGTGGCCTGGGCGGTGGTAATCCGGAGCGGGGGGTACCCCCTCGCACCCCCTCTCCGCGCCGGGCTGGGGGAAGGCGGGGATGGGGATGGGGGTGTGGATGAGGATGAGGATGAGTATGAGAGGGGCCCCGCCCCCCCTTCCCTCTGCCCCCCACCCCAAAAAAAATAACCGCAGCATGGAAACCCCGGAAGCATCTTTTTTTCTGACCAAAGCGAGTCTCATTCCTACACACTGCGGGCGAACAGATGCTTGAAGCATCTGGTATGTGAATGGCACAGAAAGCGAATCAACACACTGGTCACAACCCTAGCTTGTAGGGTTGGCAATGCTCTCACTTCAATGGTCATGACCCTGAAAGCACGACCAAAAATGCAGAAGTCTGCTTCATTTCACTGCTTGATTGCAAAACTCTGAGTGTGATGTGTGTGTTATGGTGAACTGCACACAATCTACAGAGCAAGGTTAGTATCTTCTGCCTCACAGGAATGCTATTATCCTGACCCAGCAATACAGGAAAAACACACATTTAGTAATCGATTCCATCAAGTATTAACTTCTGTTTAAAGAGATCATGCTAAACTCATGTGCACCAATGTATTCAACACCATAAAAAAGCTTCAAGTGAACAGCCACTGGCAGCTGGACTCAACAACGAGATTTTTGAAATAAAGTCTCCAACCTGTTCAATAGAAAGATGTAGGTCAAATCCCACTCCAAAACTAATGCACCTCATACGAAATACTGCTAGAAGCATAGATCATCTGAACCTCACTGATTTTGACACTAGCCTTTCTGGTTGTGCAGCAAAATCAAGCAATATGTTTTGCTGCTAATATTTGGTTAGAAAAAAACCAAACCAAAACAGGTTCACTCAACACCTGACCCTAGATAAATCCTTTCACACAAAAATTTGACAAGTACAAATCTGGATATGGACGATCTACTCTATACTGTGTAGATTTGTTGTACTACCCATTAATTTATCTTTATATTATCTAAGGAGATAAATCCCAGAATTTTTGACTACTTTTCAGTAGAATACATCCATGAGTTGGGTAAGCACAGTCTCATATCCTAAAATTGAAACCACAAACCAGGTGGTGTGAAATGCAGGGCACAAATCTTTTAAAATGTGCACCTCTTTGCATAGATATGTTCTTTCTTCACGCAAAGCATATGGTATATCTATATGTTACATACTTCAAAGGTATGCATAAATGTCTTCTCCTGCAAGTGCATACAACTTTGCCTAATTTAGCCATGCCCAGGATTGCAGACAGTCCTGAAGCAATAAGTAGCTGTAATGCTCTTCTGAATGGGATATTTGTCTTTGGCAAGTGGCTACCAGCCCAGCATCAAAAAGATGTTCTTGGAGTGGCAGGTGGATTTTTGAAAATTTACAAAACATTGGAACTGGCTCTTTAAGGGTAAACAATGTTTTGCAACCACCTATAGCAACTACTTCAGTCTTCATAGTTGACAACAATTAATAGCAAAGATCACATCAAATTTTGGATGAGTGCACTTAAACTGAATAGAAACAAGTATGCTAGAACAGCCTGGGAATATATGAGTTATGGTAATGTCCTGGTTCAGCCAGGATAGAGTAAGGTTTTCCCCAGCAGAGAGAGAGGGGTAAGGGATCTCCAGCCGGGTTATTCATACCATGCTGACGTCAGGTCCGGGGGCAGAACCTTTTCCTTGCTCCTTGGCGGGTTTGGGAGGGAATTTTGCTTTCTGTAAACCAGCTAGCAGTATTTCTTTGTATATCGTTTGTTTTGTTCACTGTTATTGCTGTTTATTGTTGTTACTATTGATACTGTTGTTGTTCAGATTGTTCTATCACTCTGTTGTATTAAATTTCTTGTTATTTTAGCCGGGGTCTGTGTTTAACTTCCAGCCCGACCAGCGCGGGTGGGGGAGGGGCAACGGCAACATGGTCCCTGATCCTGGCAACGATTAAAACTTGCACAGGTAATAAACCCTAGAGCTGCTGATTTGGGACAATTTACTTTACTTGTGAAGACCCTAACAAATACATCAGTAACCTGCAGAAAGAGCTGTACTTCAGTGTAAAATAGCCAAGATGAGTTCAAAATGGTCACAACCCGAGGTTTTGGTATTCATATCTGAGGATAACTCACCTCTTTCACTTTACTCACAGGTCTATACATACTCAAGTTCTGAGCTGAAAGCCATGCCCTTTTGGAGTTGGTGAGGCTAGTGGGACAAGAGTTTTACTCCACCATTTCTATCATGGAAGCCAAGTAGTAACAAGCAAGCTGTGAACAGAAGTAGCAATCATTTGAAAAGATGCTGGTTTCACACTGGTCCATCCAGATATGCAAGTAGTGTAATTATTCTTAGCAGATATAGCATGTTCATAGTCTTCTGCAGTCAAGACAACTAATATACTATAGATTAACCCATTTCCACACCCCTGGCCTTAGAATATGTGCATACATTTGTCTTTTCTGGGATTCCACTGTAGTGTAGAAAGTTGACTTGACATTAAATAATTAAGATCTAATGGTAGAGGTAGACAAGTTGTGAGAACATAAAGCTTAGTGCCATTAATTGCCTGATATCCACCCAACTTTTCAGGCAGATTCTCAACCTGCAGAGAGTTCCTTGATGTGACAGTCAGCTGATGTGATAGCCAGGCTATCTAGTTAAGCTCCTTTGTACTAGCCAGAGACTGCAGTGTAGGTATACCCTGAGATTATTCTGATCAATTCTCAAACATGCATTTGTTAAGAGAAAAGATAACCAGTTTAGCCAGTGTTATAATATGGGTTTATTTTTTTTCCTCTTTGTCAGTATTTTCATGTATCTTAGGACATTACAGGAAGATGTCAAAAGCAACATGAAAAAGGAGATAACACCAGTGTCAAAAGATTTTGAAATACAGATGAAAAATTTCAACATCCTAAAACACATATGCAGTCCTACAGCCACCATGTTGCATGGTAACTATAAAATCATTGTAAGATTAGAAGTAGGTTCTACATGCTGTGAACCTTTCCCTTTAGAAATCAGTAGTTAAACATTTATTGAGAATGAATTTGTGGCATTTGAGAAGAAAGGTCAGTGCTGGTTGACTAAACATTGCTGAAACAGCTCACTTCCATATAGAAGAAAACAGTCTTGTTTGTGAACAAATGACGTTCAACATGGTTCACAGCCATTTTAGAACGGTAAGTATCCAAACCCACGTAACTTCTTTGAAACAAACTTTTCTCCCAGCAGATAAAATCCCAATGTGTAATTATTTTGAAAATAAGACAAATGCTGATGAGAAATCCCCAGGTATTTTGTCATTAATGTTGCCTCCTGTAGGTTCAAATGACAGCCAAAAAGACAATGGGAGTGAAACCCCTTCAAAAAGACCTTCTTTTACTGGAGTAAGAGTGCCCATGTGGGAAAGACAGCTCTAGGTCCTGCTTTTGCTGAGTAAACATTTTATTTGTGCAAAAGTGTCACAGCTGCAGAAGTTTTGTGCTAGCTGGGTGGATGGAGGATAAGATCCAGCAAGTTAAACTAAGATCACTTGCAAGGCAGTGTCACTCCACCAGTGCTGACGATCTCTACCTTGCTAGGGCATGATGTTTAGGGTTGGAGCAGTGTGAAGAGAATTACTAGGGCTGGTTCTTGCTGCTGCAGGAGATGGATCGGGAGGAGCTGCAGTAGCATATGCCGAGCTTCAGTCGGGGACAAGTACCACGTGGGAAATTGCCAGGCTGATTTCTACTTCGACAAACAACTTGTCTTTGATTCAGAAAGTACTTAATTTCGCCTACATGCATTTCCTATGCTGGGACAGCATCCCAGAATATTCATATAGCAGACTGCATCACATCTCAGCACATGGGTGAATGATACCAGAAAGCATACACTTATGTTAAAATGCATGTAATTATGAGTACAAATTGGCTAAAAATTTCTCAGTACAGTAGCTATAAAATGGGATTCATTTGATATTATGCATTAAATTACTCTGAAAATTTGTATGGATTTCCCTATGATTAATAAGCAGAATTGAACTATAAGGTTAATATTAATTAAAATCTAGTGTGAAGAGATTTTCATGTACCGTGCCTGCCTACTGCCCTCTTGTGGGAGTACGAACATTGTCAGCATTTTCAGCATTGTCAGCATGGCTCTTGTGAGAGTACCTTTGCAGTTTTCTGTAGGGTGACACAACACCTAACATTCAGACAATAGATCCTGGAAAGAAAGTCTACATGCCTCTGAAATACAAATATTGATCTGTAATTTTAAAATCTCTGTATTTGTTACTTATCCACAAGATTCTACCAGGCAAGCAGAGCAAATAATATGCTACCTGAATATTACATTTGCTATAATTTCTTATCTTGTAAAATGTATAAACTAACAGACTATTAAGTAAGCATTCCAAAAAAAAAAAAAAAAAAAAAAAAAAGTGCTAAAAACATGTAGAGATTTCAGTGCACTCAATACTGGGCTAAGGTAATCAAAGTATAATTATAATTTTTAACAGTTCACTTTGCAGAAATAAATAATTTTTTGTCAGTAAAGAGTGCTGTAATGTCACGACTACATGATACAAATTGTCAGTGTAACAACCAAATGGAAAAAAGATTGCTTTTGTACATTTAAAGTCGGAGTCTACAAAAATTCAAGACTCTCAGAGAAAGAACACCTGCTATAAAAGGTCAAACTGTTCTCAAACCCTGATCCGAGGTTAGATTGCTGGAACAGATCTCCCATTAACACCTTTGTGGATTTCATTGATGGCTCAAATAGTTACGTTGTTGTGTTTCAAAGTACAATCTGTTCAGGTTTTTCAGATCCTGTTGTTTGGGATGAGTTACATGGACAGTATTGCAGAGGTTCAGCTGTGAAGGTCTAACTTAGGCATTTTT